TTTTCAAGTTTTAAGATTTTTTTTTTAAATCTCAATTTCAAATTTCTTAGAGGATGTTAAAAGACAATAAATAATATCAAATCTTCCCCCTAGTTCTGTTGCTAGAAATAAGTTTTCCCTATCAATTCCCCCTGCTTTGCGCTGTGGGTGCTTTCATCTGTGTGCCTTGCATGTGATTAATACAGATTTTGTGCGAAAATTACAGATTTTTGAGGCTTATTATACAGGTAGACGTCCGAAGGGGTTGACATGTTTAACCATTAGCTGTTCCACTCTTTACCTTTGTCTTTGTCTCACCATGTTTTCAAATAACATGTTTTAAAATATCAGAAAAAAAGGCCATTATTAAAGTAACAAAATGGCTTTTAGTGTTTTAAAATTGTTCCTCCACATGACCTTTAGCTTCATTCTTTATCAGGCGAGTAAACAAGYGCAATATCTGAAATACATTTGACAGTTTTTTTCCCCCCTAAGAAACATGAGATAACACACCAAGACATTTAATCTAAACAAATTTCTGGATTTACAAATGAGATCATTTTTCTTTTTATTATAGCAGTTCTTATGTTAAATCTAGGTGCAAGTCTCTCAAATTCAATACAGAATCTGAAAACCATTTAAGCACATTTAAACRTTGACTGAAAGTGATAAGGATTCTAAAATCAAAGTTACCTTCTGTCAACGTTTTTCTTATTTATACGAAGTGTTGATTATAATAATGTCAAAGATGCAACAAGGACATAACAAGTTAGATAAGCTCATTTCTGAGTCAAGAAACAACYGTGTGGTTTCATTTACAAGGTTATTGTTTAAAAACAGCATTCCAAAACAAATTTTTCCAAGACAAAAAAGGTTATTTTTTTAATATACAGTATGTTTTCTTATTTAACAAATATTTGTTTTGCAAAGTAACTGTTAAACTAAAAGTACTTTTACATGATTATTGCAATCCAAAGGACTAATTGATGACCTCAACCTGGTTTAGATGATAGTTGTGAGAGATGAGAAATTCAAATTCAAATTCAAAAATACTTTATTGATTCCAGAGAGAAACTGTGACAAAGTAAGGAGTGACAAAAGTGTGGATTTATTACAACTGATATTGTAATATTAAACTATATTGCAAGTTTTTCTAATAAAGTGCAGCCCCATTGTGTATCACAGTTCACAATTTCTTGTATTCACCAGTTCAGTTGTTTTTAACTGGTAGAGTTACACTGCAAAATAATTATGAATAAAAAAATATTATTGAAAAATATTATATTTATATTATTATATAAATATTATGAATAAAAAATATATATGATCTATTTCATAATATTAAAATAAGTAAGTAAGTAAGTAAACTTTATTTCTATAGCACCTTTCACAGACAGAAACATCACAAAGTGCTTCACAGAAAGCAAAATAATTAAAAACAATAAAACAGATCACAGATATAAAAACAACAATTAAAACACAATAGTGTTTTAATTGTTTTAAGTGCTAAAATACACTTTTCTGTGACCTTAAAAGGTACTTGTATATTTTTATTCTCCCATTCAAAGTAATGATTAAATAAAATTCAGTTCCATAAAATGGAAAAAAAAAAGAAATCATTTCGTTCCACACAAACACACGAAAACAAAACACACTGCTTCTAATTTCTGCCTCGTTTTGTGACTGCAGGTTGTCATTCTCCGTCCTCAATCATCTCATCCCAGCTGTCATCCTCCTCACCAGCCGCCCGGTGAGCACAAGCAATTTGCTGTGATCAGTGTGCCTCTGCCAATATAAGCCAACTTACCATGACGCATCACCCACACATCTACCTGCACCCAGTAATGGGAGCCTCGCTGTAAAAATCTCCTGGTATCTTTGAGATCTCTGCCAGCGATGCCACCAGTAATCACTGTCAAGTCAGGAGAACGTCACCTGCACCGAGTAATGACGCAGAAGTAACCCTGATCCCTGTGGGCTCGACCACAGATGAGGTCCGAAAGGATGAAGGAGGAGGTGATGGAGAGAGGAGGAAAACACAAGATAGCCTCCAGAAATGAGAGGTTAACGAGATGAGATTGCGCTGACCTTTGCTAATGCAGGTGGGAGGTGACTAGAGAATTGTGACTGATAGTTAAAAAAAGGAGGTGAGCAGCTGTTACAGAAGAGAAACAATAAAGTGAAAAGTGAGGGGTGGGTGTTATTGTAATTTGGGAACAAATATTAGCTGTTAAAATTGTATTCAGTTTAAAGGAGACATATGCTTTTAAAYGCTTCTTTTTCACATTTAAATCATTCAGCTGAGGTCTATTAAAAAGTGGAACTGCAACGCTTCAGTCTGAATTCCTCCTTATTGTAACTCCACAAGCCCCTCTTTTACCCCTTTTCTAAAGYCGGGTACACACCAAACACGTTTTGAGCAGCCAAAGCAGCCAGTTTACATACAAAGTCTATGGTGGGTTCGCATCTACGAGCAGCGCAGCACGTAGCAGCGCGTTTTGCCAGTTGAGAGCAGCGCGCAACATGCGGCAGAGCATTTTCCGCGCATGYGGCACGTCCAAAGCAGCGGCTGCTGGAGTTCAACAAATKGAACTTTGGCTGCTTGACGCGCMRCAGCAACCAATCAAGAGAGAATAAATTTCTCCACGTGACGGTTTCCTGAACCCGACACAGACGGACAGGAGCTGTTTTAAGCTGAAATCAACTGTCTGAAGCTGGTGTTCTGGCTGGAAATAGATGTGGGTCAGCAGCTCGTCCTTGGGATAAGGAAAAAAAAGTCTGTCAGCACACAGCTCCTGGAGTTGGAAACTAACCCAACAAATCGCCTCTAAATCATCTGGTGAATTAATTATCTGGTGTGCGCAATGACGCTCCTTCCATTGCGTGTCTTCAGACGCGTTCGGTCTGAACCGACATCTGTTGACGAGCAGCCAAAAACTGACGTCAGGAGAGTTTTTGCTGCTCAAGACGCGTTTGGTGGGAACCCAGCTTAAGGTGTGTCTCAGATCAACTCATTTTGAGGCTGTCTTTTTAAATCCAAATAAGGTTAGCAGCRTTACGGAGAAAAACAKAAGACAMACCCCGCCCCCCTCCAGCTTCCAGACTGGTCCATTGTACCTTAAAAGAGGGGTTTACGACTATATTGAAGAAACTTATTATTTACCAACTAATTTTAAAATTGTCAACAACGGAAAACTCCAGGTACACAACAAAACACATTTAATGGGTAAAAAAAAGTGARTTTTGCATATGTCCCCTTTAATGGGAACCTTTATTCAATATGCTGCAGTGTGAAGTAATGCAAACAATGAATAAAAAAGTGACAAAGGATTTTTGTAAAAGTCCTTCTCCTTCACATTATCCACTGGAAGCATAAATGTTGTGATTTAGTAWATGAACTTTATAAAATAAAAGCTTTAAAAGAAACTCAATCTTGTCAACAGGTTTTGGTTTCATGGAGGCAATACAGGTAAAGTCATGGCACCCGTTAAGTCAGTGCAGCTGAAGTCTATTCACGTCATCTCCTCAAATCTAACAGAAAAGAGAAATAAAACACACATTTTTGACAATAAACGTGTGTTCCTAAAAGCCACTGAGAATAAATTTGGCTTTTGGTCTGAAGTCAAACATAAAAAAAATGAGAGTTTCATCAGTGAGCTGGAGATCCAGTGTACAAGTTGTTAGCTGGTTCCCACCTCCTCAGCTGCTAAGGGTGCAGCAGACACCTTCAGCACCCACTGAGTGTCTGCACCGGCAACTGAATCACTCAGATTATGTCAGAATCTGGAGATCACACAAAAAGCTGTTTAAACACAGGGAGTTTATAATTTGAGAGATGACGATTAAAAAAAAATTTACAAAAAAAAAAATGAGTGGATGAAAGTTTTGACGTCGTTACGATAAGACACGGCTTATTTAGTGGCGTCGGGTCAGCTATTGTTCCTGTGCAAACAGACATTCTTCTGCAACAGTCATTCCACTCACAGCCATAACAAAGACAAGCTCTTACTGGTGTGTAGCTGTGCACGCTGCTGCCGCTGCTGACAGCCGTGCTCAGGCTGTTAAGGTTGACAGACGCCAAGCTCGGCTCTGAAAGACTGTTGCTCAGGCTGCCACCCAGACTCCCAGGACTCTCACCGCCTTCTGCTTCAGGATTATACAGTGCTACCTACACACACATACAAATAGAAAAAAATGGTTCCATGCTGACATGATAATAATGGCTTCTATGTAGGACTAACATTTTGAGGCAATGCACCAAACAATAAGCCCTTCAATGGCAGTGATTCATAATGTTTTTGGTTTGTCTTGGCCTTTCTTCTTTCTTTGCCAACTCATACGCAAACTGTGGTGAGCAACTCCAGGGGTTACTTGCGCACATTTAACTTCAGGTTCAACTTGTGATTTGTACTGGTGCACAAATCAATGCAGCTCCTTCACCGAAAAAAAAAAAAAACTAACTATTTGGAGCGCAATCGTTTTCATTTAACCTGTTTTTATGAATTAAGAGGAGCCGCGCTGTACTTTGTTTTGACACATCAGAAGGCTTTTAAAAGAAGTGCGCCGGAATTATGTTGAATCATGTTTCTCTTGTTTCATTTGACTGTCAGCACTCRTGAGGCAGAGCGCCAGGATTACCTTCAGGCTACGTTTAATTGTAAAGACAAATGTGAAAACATAGCCTCCGGGTGAGACAACAGTAAAAACTCTCTGGGGCAGCGCTCTGCCCCGTGGAAAATTTTCCAGTGGAAAAAAAAAAGAATTTAAAGAAGTATGTTTTTTTTGTTTGTTTCTTTGGATTCAGTGTTATTTAAAGAAGCTGAATCTTTTATTCTCATTTTTGAGATGCTGCAGTTACAAAAATGGCAAAAAGAAATTGAGGCCTAGGAGATATTTTCAAATAAAAACATTACAATATTTGATTTGTGAATTTAACAATTTATTTCCTTTAAGAAAAACATGTTCTGTTTTAACCCCTTTGCTGCAACAAGTTATAGGGATGCCTTATTTTATAAAAACACTGACATCTTCCGACGATAACAGAATATCAGTGAGCAAATGTGTTAGAGACACAGCTCTGACACACTGCTGCGCCTGCAGGACACCACCTGTCTGGACGTGGGCGGATATTATTGACGTTGGCATCAGCATCATTATCATCAAGGTCTTTCTCTCACTGCTCTGAATCATTGTTGCAGAATGTAAAGTGATATTACTAATGAGTCGTGGCTGAGTTTGTCCTGGAGTAACACAAAATAGGTGCAAAGTGGCAGGTAAAAAAATACAATAAACAGAATAAAATACATAAAAAGCATTTTCTGTTGTTCATCTGTTCCCCTGCTGCCTGTGTGAAACTGTTCAGCAAAATAACTACTTTATAATTAGGATACAAATGGTTGCTAATCAAGCTATCGTTGTGGCTTTTGTTATAAAACATTAAAAACTGAGAAATTTTGAACAATGCTGATTAGCTCTCTGGTTAAAAAAGCATGCTGATAAAATGATTATATTTAAAGCAATGCATTAGGATGTTTTGTGTTCTATATATATT